TTCCTGCTCCTCTGATGCTGCTTGGCCTGCTGTGTTCATCCAGCTCTACACCTTGATATCTCAGATTCTCCAGCATCAGCAGTTTCTACTATCTCTGAAACAATTTTAACCCGGATTTTCAAGTCCCACCTGCTCCAGACGTGTGTAATAACATCACCCAACTGCTTGATTAGAAAACATATCCCATAATGGTTAATGTGGTAGGCTCTTGTGTTGCAGTGGTAGTGTCCCCACCTCTGGGCTGGCAAGCTTAGATTTAGGTCTCATTTTCTCCAGAGAAGTATTATGATCAGGTTGATTAGAAAATATCTGCAGAGTAGCTCGAGTCCTCAAGGATGAACCCTCAGCCTACGTACTGTTTCTACGTGACTTCACCCCAAAGCAGCAGTTACCGCATGTTTTATGGAGACACCCATCTCGACTTCACCACGGCCCCTTTCAACCCTCCATTGTCTTAGAGTTGCTCGACTGTTTCTCCAGCCTTCGGTACTGGGTGAGCAGAAACTTCCTCCAATTAAATACTCGTACAAGCAACTGATCCCAGAGCCGAAGACCCATTCCAGAGTTTTCACCTTCGCTTTTCTCTTTGGCCTCTGTGGTGGAACCAAAATGTTCACAATCTTGGTGTTATATTTATCCCTGGGATGACCCTCTGGAATATCACCTGATCTTCCCGCTGCCCAAGCCCCTTTGCTGCTGAAACCTTCATTTACGTCTTTGTTGCGTTCAAACTTGACCATTCCTGGTCAGCCTTTCGTGTTCAACACTCTAACAACTTGAGATCGCCGCAGACGCGTTGTCCATGGCTTGCGTCTGGAGTCCCACTGACCCGTCACCCCTGGGCTCACTGACTTATATTGGCTAATATTTAAGGAAACTCCGATTTTAAAAATCACGTCCTCCATGACCTCTTGCCTCCCTATTTCTTTAATGTCTCCAGCCCTATAACTCTTGGAGATATCTGCACTCCTGTAAGTCTGGCCTCTTAAGATATTTTCTAGTCAACCTGTTATTACATACTAAATAAAAATCGAAAGAACTGCAGATGCTGTAAATCAGAAACAAAAACAGAAGTTGCTGGAAAAACTCAGTGGGTTTGCCAGACGTGCTGAGCTTTTCCAGCAACTTCTGTTTTTGTTCATGTTATTAAATAACTCTGGAAAAGGTGGGACTTGAACCCCAGCCTCCTGGCTCAGAGTTAGGTACAATACCATTCCACAACAAGAACCCTTAGTCTTCTCTTGAGCATGCCCGATGTTATAGCTGCGCAGCTGGTGACCATGCTTTCAGTTGGCTGGGCCCTGTGCTCTGGAATTCTTTCCCCAAACCTCTCCACTGCTCTACCTCGTGTTCTTCCATGAAGGCTCTCCTGCAAACTAATACTTTGACCATTTGCCCTCATATCTTCTGATGTGACTGGGCGTCAATTTTGTGCTTGCTATTGTTCTTGAGAAGCACCTTGAAACTTATTTTTATTTCGTTAAAGGCACCTTGTAAATGAAAATTGGGTGGTGTTTTATATAGATCGTATCCAGGACCATGTAAACTTAAGTCCATGAGGTGCTTTATATAAATAATGAACGCACTTAATATAGCGACTTATCACAGCGAAAATCCACAAAATCCTTCACACAATCAATGAGAGTGGTAACTGGTCTCCAAAGCAATTCAAAATGTGACTTGTGCCGTCATCATATATTTAATTGTGGATGCCTTGCACTGTTCGGAAGAAAGTAAGTTTTTTTTTCTTTTTAAAAATGTAAGATGTAAAAGACTCTGACAGACTAGTTTGGAACAGCTTCCAAATACCCAATGAACATGCGGCAAAAAATGTCATCTGCTCCCCTTCTCCGACGGTCTTCCAGAAGCAAACGAGTACAAAATCCAGAAGCAAACGACTCTTTGCACTCAACCCTGGAAAATGTTTGTTACTCAGATTACTTACTAGTCCCTGTCACCTTGCATCCCTTTATGTATCCCAGCCAGGTCGTTATAAAAACAAAAGACACAAAATCAGAAATTGCTGGGAAAAAACAGCAGGTCTGGCAGCATCTGTGGTGAGAAATCAGTCCAGTGACCCTTCTTCCGAACAGCTAAAATCACAGCTACTTCGAAACAGACGAGAATGAACAGTGGAAGTAGCCAAAATGACTTGCTTCTTGGGGAACCTCATCGCTCTCGTCCCTGAAGAGAGTAACACGCTAGTACGAACGAGATGACAGGCCTTTCCCATTAAAGAGTCTTTTTAAGATTTCGCTGACAATGTCAACCCCCCACCACTCCCCCCCCCCCCCAAAAATGAAAACGTACAGTTGTTACTTGAAACGAGTGTCCACAGCAATTCGGTAAAGAAATGTGAATGAGAGTGTAACATAATGAAAGAGCATTGGCTTCGAATGCAATGGAGCAAGACTGACCCCGCGGGCACCGGGAATTTCTAGTTTCTCCCGGGCAAGCTCGCAGGCGCAAGTCCCCTTCTGCATCATGCGATGCTTTCCTGAAAACGTGTTTGTTTGTGGTTTGTGGGATCGAGAATCACCGTCCACCCCATGGCTGCCCTAGAGGAGGTAGCATTGGCCCTTCTACTAGTTGCTGTCTCCTTTCCGTTACGTTGCCCTGTCATCTTTCAAGTACAATTGACTGGATATCCGCTCCCATTATTGACGGCACAGTCACCCATTTTATGATGGTTTCAAACAAGACTATAAATGGCCCTTCAAAGAAACAGCCATACTAAAGTTACAGGTGAAAGTTAACATAGGCCACATGTAGTAACCAAATATTTGACTACTTTAAAGTATTTTCTTTAAAATGTACATCCATGTATATATTTTTGTTCTTAATGAACCTTTAAAAAAATCATTTGATGAATGCTGTTACAAAGTTGTTGCCATGAGTTCACTTTGATAGAGGCGAGTTAAACCATGAGAGATCGGCTTAGTTCCTGTCTACCCATTTCTTCAGATCAGTTTCTGCCCGACCCATGCAATCATATTTATTCCTCGTTTAAGCTCAAACACGCAGCAGAAAATTAGCACACGTCGAAATTAGAACAAGGTTATTATATCAATTTGCTCATTTGTAATATCTCATACACCAGAATACATGTCTCAATCTTTACCTTGTTCTATAAACATTGTTAACAAACTGGACCTGAACAGTATTGCTCTCCGTTTTCATAGCATCGCTTTTTTTTTCAATCATTTGAGTTCCTTCGTGAGTCTTTTTTTCTACAATTTATTGGTCCGCTCTGATTGAAAGAGAATAAAGGGATTTTTTTTTCAAAAAACGTGGAGTAACTCAGGGCATTTGATTTGAAAGAGAGTAGGAATGCGTAAAGAAACACTGTAAGGTGTGCGCTGAAAATTGACAGTTCTGTCCCAACTTTGTCACTAAGCACGCCGCACAGGCAAATTCAAACGTTCTGTTTGTTAAGATTTCGAAATTGAAAATTATATTTTGTCTCTGAGAGGCTAAATTTTAATTGTTGACCCCTTGAACTTTAAAACGCCCTGTCTAGTTTCTCAAAGACTGTAACCAAAGGCTTCGAAATCCAGGGATGTTCTCCAGGATGATAACGAAAAGAACCAGAACACTGAGAAAAAAAGGAGAAATAAAATATTTAATTGAAAGATTAAAAAGTTAATAAAGGCACAAATGTAAAATGCGATTCCTCTGAATCAGTAAACTGAGCTTTAGTTAATTTCTTCTGAACACGCGAAGTCCCATCATAAATTTTCTGGACTAACTATTATCTTGGACAGCGTGAATCCTTACAGTTGTGCATCAAGGTAATACGTTTGTTTTGTTTTCAAACGACATATTTATGTTAACCTTGTTCACGGCTCAACAGTAGCCTGAATGATACTGTTGCAACCTGATCTACAACACTACGCCGCATCGAAATAACAATTATGGATCTTTGTTATATTCATTAATGAGTTCCAAAGACACCTCCTGCCCGTTTGCACCCTTCCTAAAGATGTATCTGAGTCCAGATGTGCTGATCCGGGATGACAGTAAGTAATTACCTCTTTTAAAAGTTCGATTTATTCATTTTAAAATGTTGCTTCTCTTGAAGTCCTGGAGCTGAACAAAGAAATTGTGGGCTGGTGCGGGAACATCCAAATGCTTGGATAAATTGTTTCTCCTTTCTGTTAGCCTGGAGTGTGGCCTGTAGGGAGATTGCGTGGGACATGTTGTAGTCAGTGAAACATAATCAATTATGTTTTTTCTGTTTAATTTATTTTTAGAAAAGACATTTCCTTTGTTAGAAACTAGCTGTTTCTGAATGGCCTATTTGTTCAGTGCCATGAACACAACTTGCTCATAATGTCTCTGATTATGTAGCTCGTACAGATCTTCGTAGAGTTCGTTTGTAACTTCATATCCCACAGGATTTTTGTTTGGCTCTTGTAATGGCGAGTGAATAAAATAAATGATTAATGGACGTGAGTCCATTGATAATAATTATCCCGTGAACAAAGTGTCTCTTCAGACCATCCCTTCGGTGTGATTTATGGCAATCATACAAGTTCCATGCTATCGGGTATTTTTGGTACATATTTTAAACCATAGATTGAATCTCATATGCCTAATCCTTAGTGCATCGCGACTTGCGCCTTCCTGGCGCTTTTTTTTAAACAGTTAGTATTCGATCGTTTAAACCAATGCAGGCATTAAGCACAGCGCCGCTGTCCTGCTACTTACAAAACGCTCCATACATAAAAAGCGCAACTTGTTTATAGCACGCAATCTGCTTAACCCTCTAGTAAATATTTTCATTCAAATACAAGATATTGTTGTAACTATGATCCCGTGGTACCGTTTGAACTTACGCAAGCTTCTTCAAATTGAATATGAGTCTTTTGTTGTTGTAAAAAGAAGGCATTATCTGTCAGAGACAAATCGGGAAACGCTGTACTCATGTATTCGGAATGGACACGGGATCCAGCGAAAATTCGGCGGTCAATCATTTTCATCCTCTTGTCATTTTACCTTGGTTTACGATCGTAAGCCTTCGGAAAAAAAAAAGCTTTGCTCGTGTGTGGAAGTAGAAAATCTGGTGAAGTGTTTTAAAAATAAGCATGACACCACAGTGGAGAGACTTAACGTTCCGACACCCTTTCTTAATGAATAATAGGTTATCCGTGTATTCGTCTTAACAGACAGCTGTTTTAAATGTTTCCTACCTGCTGATGCATTTGTGTGTATCATTCCACTCCCCACCATTCTAAATCGGAACATAGTCTTATTGGCGGTGGCCGTGGTGGGGGTTGGGGGGTGGTGGTGGTGGTGGGAGATTTCTTTTGTTTCCCTTCCTTGTTTATTTTAGGATGTATTAAGTTGTGGTCTGCCAGCGAGGTATTGCATCATGGAAAAAAAAATGGCTTGAGTCTCGATTTCTCCATTTAAAGACAAAAGCTGGGTGTCTGCACTAACACTCTGGAGTGGGAGTGCTGGGAAGTGAGTGGAAGCTTTAATCTAAACAAGATATTGTTGATGGCGAGCGGATGGGGATTATCAAGCTGTCTTCTGCCGGAGTCTCAGTAGCATCCAAGCATTTGGCACTGGCGCCGGGTTGTGTGACAGGTGTAGCGTTTCTCTTTGTTTTGCTGCTCCCCTCTCTGAGCCAGGTAAAACATGCATACATGTAAATGCCGCAGGGATGCCTGGAAACACAAGGAATCTGCGCTGTCCTGTTGAAGAAATGATTTGCCACAAGCCTCAGCAGTGGGAGAGAAATCAAACTGAAACGCAATGAACGGTATCTTGGGTCATAGCGCTTTGTTTACATGTTTTACACATGTTTATTGCTTAGCTACTGGATTGTATAACATAAAACGGTATAATGTAAAATCGGGAAATAGCAGTCGGAATGTACGCTTTATGTAACAAGTATGAATACCTAGAATGGGTTAAGACAAAATGCAGTTAATTCATCTGAATACACTCGTCTTTACTATAAGACTGCTGTGTGCATAGCTCTGATACTGAGTGGGCATTAGGCAAACAGGTTAAAGGTGCATATCAATCAGATTTGGGTTACTGAGCTAGTTTTGCGACCAGTTGCTTCTGTAAGGCCTGTTAATTAGGTGAATTACTGGGCAAAACAAATATACAGGATGCAGGATTAACCAGGACGTGAGTGAATTGGAGGAAAGCAATTTGGAATTATAAACCACTTACAATTGTATCGTTTTCTTTAGAAATGTTTCACATTTGAAAGTGACTTTACTTGTGTAAGATCATCCTAAAATACAATTCTGACTACTTTTTAGTACATCACACCCGACGAAACGAGTGCCTATCTATAAGTATGTACAATAAATATAACCTTAAAAACGGGATTCTTTCTCCATGTGTGTACCTGACCCCCTTAAGGTGGACTTATGGAGGTAGGTCCAGAGAAACAAAACGATAGTGAAGGTTTCTTGGTGAGCTTGCCATTTTATAAACACGCAGAGATGACTGTTAATGATATTTTTTTCCAAAAAAAGAGAGGGAGTGAGAATCGTCACTTAGATTTGGGGAGAGGTTGTGAGGGTTGGGGGTAGAGGCGGAGGCTGCAGGCGAACAGGGAGTGACCTACGTGCCTTGGGTTGCTACAAATCCAAACAAAAGACGCACGGGTTGAATTCGGAAGTTTATGAAAACGGAATAAGAGTCTTTCCCTCGCGGTTTAGACTTTGACAGCCAGCTGTATTCGCGTGACAACGAGAAACGCAGTCATTTTCTCAGCGAAAACCGCCCTGTGATTTATGATTCGCTGGCGATTACGAGGCAGGGCGAACACTTGTTTATACAGCCAGAAAAAGGGTGGTGGGGGGGTGGGGAGGTTGGGGGTAAGGAGAGTGTGACAGAGAGAGAGAAGGAAAATCTATTAAAGACCCCGGATGCTCAAGTATCCGTAGAATAAACAACCAGTATTTTAAACATCTTCAGTCATGTTGTTTGGACAGATGAGTTTAAGGGGAATAGGGCTGGCAAGTTTATTGAAAGGGATGGCCTTCCATGAGCTTTCAGAGAGAGACAGAGGGAGAGAGAGACAGAGGGAGAGAGAGAGACCCCTTTAACACCGAAAGGTTGGATCAGTCTATTTGTTATTTACTGTCCCGCGGTTCCTTACGCACCTGGGTGCAACTTGCAGAGATGATATTTAGGCCGTCCTGCCGGTTTTAGTCGACGTGGAACCCTCTTTTACTTTACAAATGGTTGCATTTCCTACATCCTTCCTCGCTTAGCATCCTACCAGGGAGTCTGGCAATAGAAAGACAGGAAAAGAAGGAAACTATTTAGCGCTTAAATTTAATCGTGGTTGATCTGTGTGTAGGCTCCATACTCTCCTGATCCTTAATGCTTTGGTCAACACAAAGTATCAATCATACCTTTTTTTTGAATTAACAACGGATCTAGCGCTGTGCAGGGGTTTTAAGCCTCTACGACACTGCGGCTAGTAGAAACGTTTGTTAATTTTCCTCCTCAAAGGCCAGGCACTAATTTCAGGCGATGCCCGTTAATCATGAGCTGCTAACAAACACGAGGCACTCAAATGGAAGTACATAGTCTCTGTGCTTAAAGACCTGGAGTCAAACCCCAATTGGAAAAGTTTCAAACTGAACCCATCAGCCCATGTCCCTGCTTTTGAATGTTCGGGTGGACAAATGTGTACCATGGTAGCATTTAAATACACCAGAAACAGAGAGCGCAATGTTATTAAGTCTGCCGGAAGCTGGAGAATTTGTGCAAGAGTGCAGTAGAATTAAATTAGGCCTCCGGAAGCTCCATTACCATGTTTCCAGTAAACACACCAAATTTGCCGTTTCTCTGACGGCTATTCCTCCACTAGCCTATTAAGAGCGGGTATAAATTTAGCAGGATGCCTGGGCGCATTTGGCGATTGCGTTATCTGCAGCCCTCGCTATCTTTTATTTTGAAAGAGATGTTTAAAGGTCGCTTAACTGCTTTCTCTTTAACTCCCGTCCCTCTCCAGTATCTGGAGGGTCTCGGTAATCTCCGACCATTCGACAGTTGCTGCAGAGCGGAAAGTCAGCGCCCCGATAGTGTCAGATCCTATCGGCCGACACCGCCGGCGCTGTTTGCTGTCGGAATTTTAATTGGGAGAGATGGGTGCCTTTCACTTGATAAGGTATTAATAAACCAGAGATGATAGACTTTTAAAGACAAGTACAGACAATAGAGATTGTACAATATTGATACACTTCTTAGCAGTTTGCTCTCCTGTTTGGTGAATTACGAAACGGTAATAATTTGTATTGGGGATGTCTTTAATTATATAAATGGCACAGACAATAATCATAATTTTGAATGAACTCAAATTTTGCACTCATATAATTTTTATTTCAGAATTTTTCTGCATTAGAATTTGACATCATTATTGAGAGACACCTGATTAAATGTTAATTTAAACGGAGAAACAGAGACAAAACAGTACAAATTATCACGTGTGAAAATTGCTACACACGGATTGCTACTTACATCGGACAGGTTTTATTTGCATCAGTGCGAACGAATAGATGGAAAATATCAAGTATGTTTAAACCTGAAATGCGTGGTTAAGTTAGTTAATCTGATAACAACATGTCAGCAAATTAACATATTATTTTCAAATAAATGCTGGAAATGCCCAACGCTTTAGATTTAAAATGCTTCGGAAATGGAAGTAATCGTCAGGCGAGTTGGTACAACCAAAAACGAGGTGTTGTAAAAATATAGTTGGGCGTTGCAGTAGTAGAGTTTACCTATTGTATATATAAATGCGGATGAACTGAAGACTTCATTGAGAAACAATAAAGGCTCGTTGAAACAGCACACAGCGATGGGCTGAATGGTCGCTGACTTCTTCTTCTGTAAGGATGGCTCTCCCTATTCCATTCTTTGTTTAAATCCCTAAGAAAATCTGAAAATTTTTTTCTTGTGGCTCGGGAACAGTTTCCAACGGGTACTCAGAAGCAAAATGCGCATTTATTACCAAAATAGTGGATGCTCGTCAGGCATCGAGCATCGGGACATGAGTCCTGTACAAAATTACAAAAGTTACGTTTTAAATGTATTATAGCTTGGAAGTCTGACAGCGAAAGTACCAACCATCATTTTAATGATTTAATTACCTGCCAATTTAAAGGGAGATCTGAGAGAGAGATATGGGTTGGTGAAATGTAATTTTCCCCTGAAATTAATAGGAAACTGTGCAGCCATCCCTCGTCAGAAAGTCATGATTAAATCATATCTCTTGTTTGATATGAGAGTTGAACTAGGTTCAAGTGCGTTCAAATGATTGCTTTCCATTCTCTCGTTTCCAAGTAAATGATCGAAGGGCCATGTAATAGCATAAATTCTGCTCTGATGTCTTGCCACATGCTTTGTCATGTTTTTACAAGGAGACGATGCAAAATTGTATGGCGAGTGAAACAAATTTTCATCACTTCTTAAAAATATATGGCTAAAAATGCAGCGATGAACACAGCCAGATTTCCACTCTAATTTCAAACTCATCAGTTTAATATCACTTTGCTGAGTATTAACCAAAGGCGGCAAAGCTTTTGGAGGTAAATTAAGTGAATAAAATTTCACTCATGCGTTATCGACATTCAATTAGGAGGAACCGCGAGGCAAGTTCAATCTTGCTTCGCTGGGAGTTTGCCCAAAATATGAGGCTGCAAGTTCCTGGTTCTGTTTAAGCGCCGGGTGCTGAGGAGGCACAGATCCGATGTGACAGCAAGTCAGTTCACTCTCGCTTTTGAAGAAGGGTCACTGGATTGGAAACGTTAACTTTATTTCTCTCTCTCCACAAATGCTGTCGGACCTGCTGAGTTTATCCAGCAAATTCTGCATTTTATTTCACTCTCTGGACCCGGCGAGTTTGCAGTCGGCGCGAGGCAGACGATACAGTTCGCATCTCAGGTTTAACAACAAATCACAAGTGAAAACAACTAAAGCAAAGCCGACAATGCGGAGATAAGGAATAACGGAGTTGTCCCAAAAAGAACTCATGATGTGGATTTAATTATTGGTGAAATGGAACGTAATGGGTAAATTATTGATTTAATCATATCGTTAATCAAGTTTCCCGATTTTGTGTTCCTTAAAATGTTCACCTCTATAATCTCACTTTTCTCCCGATTGCAAAAGATTGCAATTTTGCTGCCTGAGATCCGCAAGATTGTTAAGAATCGCTAACAGCATGAATACATTCATTCTCATATTTTCCCTGCAGATTTAACACAGTATTGCAGGTTTCAACCGAGAAGTAAGTAGTTATGTTGTGTTAATTCGCCTTAAGAGAAACCCCTTGACCCGAATTAATTTCACTGAGCGCTAGTTTAATGAAATCATTTATCTCGGTCGTAACACCCAGCGCGTTCGTTTTCACATCGGAAAAGGTGTCGATCAGATTCCATACGACCTCGTTTCGGCGGTGAAGCGAGCAGATCATTTGTTTTTTTTAAAAAGCACAGTTCAATAAATCCATACTTAAGTATTACTTTACAAAAGCAAAAAAAGACCACATGCTGGGTAATGAGTACTCCAGTCGCCAGCGAATATCTGCAGTGATCTACGTCTGATTTCAGCGCGCTTGAAAAGTAAAGTGAGATGCGGAGACCAAGAACGTAAACCAGAGAGAGAGAGAGAAAGAGAGAAAAATACAGATAAGTTGCTTCGGATCAGAGATAGTAGGAACTGCAGATGCTGGAGAATCCGAGACAACAAGGTGCAGGGCTGGATGAACACAGCAGGCCAAGCAGCACAG